TGTGTGTGTGTGTGTGTGTGTGTGTGTGTGTGTGTGTGTGTGTGTGTGTGTGTGTTTTAGTTTCTGTCTTTCTTAATTCAGTCATCCTGATATAACCTCCACTTTCTATTGTACCACCAGCATGTATCTTTCAAGATGCATTGAGATGTTTCTTATTCTAGCATACATAGGCACAATGTTTAATGAAATGTTCTCTCTTTTTTTCTCAGAGCCTCAGCTGAAAGGTATTGTCACACGTCTGTACTGTCGGCATGGCTTCTACCTGCAGATGTTACCCGATGGCACCTTGGACGGTACAAAGGACGAAAACAGCTCCTTCTGTAAGTGTGTGCTCGTAGATATGTGGGTGTGTGCGTCTGTGCGTGTGCTCAAATCTTTTTTGAACACATTTTAAGAGCTTTACAAAATCCTGTTTACCTTACCTGAACTCACTATCACATTACAACCCTCAGATTGTAATGGCAAACAAACATCAAAGTGTGGCAAGTCTCTGTCTTGTCTGCTCCTGTGGAGTATAATACCTTGCCCTCCTCACAGCAGTGTAAAGCAGCATCCACATCAGCCAGATATGTGCGATGTCCTTTTCACAGCATGTTTAGGAGAAGTTTTTGTTCCGAGGTTGCTCTATCATAGCCCAAGAGACCTAATGGAGACCAGGCTTGGGCAAAGTTTAGAACTGAACTGGTTCATCTTCAATTTGGTTGTATGATTGTTCTGGTTCATCTTCAATTCATGAATGTGAATTTGAATTGAATTGGTCACAAATTACATCTATCTATCTATCTATCTATCTATCTATCGTTCTATCATTCTATCTATCGTTCTATTGTTCTATCATTCTATTTATCATTCTATCATTCTATCTACCATTCTATCTATCTATTGTTCTATCATTCTATCTAACTAGCAATCTATCTATCGTTCTGTTGTTCTATCTGTCCGTATGGCCTATTACTTTTTTTCAAAACGTTTAAAGGCTTTATTAACCCAATATTCAACACTGTTTTGACAAAAATGTTTCTTTTTAAATTCATCCTTATACCTTCAAATTTGAATTGAAGGTCTAAATTCAAAATTATTTTTTCAGGAACATCACTGACATTTGCTTGTAGTTTTGGCATCTTGGAAAATCTGAGCACAGTTAAAGATATTTTTGAGAGCCCAGAAGAGGCACATGTGAGATGACTCGGCTCTTTTTCTCATAAGAAAACATGTGAAGTGGGGAGGCATCAGCAAAAGGTCTCAGTTTGCTCTTTGTTTAATTTAATTGCTGCAGAAGATAATAATTTCATATATTAATGAGATCTCATCTACTCATCTTTTTATTTCCTAATGTATCTAATGTCCGGGTCCTAATGTACAGTATGGGCTCTTCTAAAATACGCAGCACTCTTCTCATAAATGACATGTTGCCCTCGTGAGACGCATTTCTGAGCACAGCCAAACAGATGCCCCATAATGTCTTTTTAATATGGGAACATAATAAACAAAACAAAACAGTCAAATCCCTCAAGGTTTTTCCACTTTTTACTGCAGATGTCTTGAAATCCTTCCAGAGGCAAAACTGTTATGTCAGTCGATAAAAGGATTTTCGTAAGTGTTTCTATCCATAAATCTTGCATAACAGTCATTTAACGGTGGCTTGTCGGCTGATTCAGTGCAGGTGAGGTGTGTGTCAGATATTGTGTAAGTGTGTGTTCGCTGTAGTAGGTTTGACAGAGAGGAACCATCTGGGAACAGCTGTGTGGTTTGTGTTGGAGACAGTGCAAAAGTTAAATAACTTTTTTATAGAGCTAAAAGGATTTTCGTAAGTGTTTCTATCCATAAATCTTGCATAACAGTCATTTAACGGTGGCTTGTCGGCTGATTCAGTGCAGGTGAGGTGTGTGTCAGATATTGTGTAAGTGTGTGTTCGCTGTAGTAGGTTTGACAGAGAGGAACCATCTGGGAACAGCTGTGTGGTTTGTGTTGGAGACTAAATAACTAATTAATATAATTAAATAACTTTTTTATAGAGCTAATTAAAAGGTGAAAGAAAAAGAAAGCAAGTGGCAGAGCTGTATGATTGCTGTCTAGACTTTATGGTTATTATATACGGATTGTGCACCGAGGTGAGAGAAAGGTGAAATTGCTATGTTAACTGATGTAAAGTTTGCTTTGCTTCCTGAAATTAGGCCTGAACCCGTTCTGGAGAAAGGCTGAGTGTGGGTCAGGATTTGTCTACATTAGGAACATAGCCATTGCTAGACCTTGTTTATTTGGTGGACCATCCCTGCCTTTCAAACTCAGATTTAGTTCACTCACAAATGAAGATATTTTGATGAATGTTTCAGTATTTTTTGGTCCACTGAGTCATTGGGGTCCAAATTAACATTTGACCTCATCAATTTACATTGTATGAATAAAAAACACTGAAACATTCTTCAGAATCTTCTGTCATGTTCCACAGAAGAAAGAAAGTCAAACGGGTTTGGAACAACATGAGTGTGAGTAAATGATGACAGAATCTCCTCAAAGTAAGGCTGCACAATTAATCGAATTTCTAATCGCGATTACAATTATGGATGCCACAATTACGTAATCGTTCAAAGCGGCAATTAATCGTTCAAAGTCCACTTATGTTATTCTGTGTACTTAAGATGCTTTTTTTTTCTTCTACATGTTATCTTAAGGGTTTTTCCATTGTTTTAATTTTAGTTTTAGTATAACACTATAATACCATTTATATTTTTACTTTTTTTATAATTTAAAGAAGAAACCAATCCGATGTATAGTTGACATTTGAGGGTGAATACTATAGAAAAGCACTAAAAGTTTTTCAGTTAGAGTGTTTTCAGCTTGTTTATTTTCAAATAAAAATACGGCATCCAGTTGCATCAAACAATGGTATAAACATCATTCAATGTAAATTGTGATCATCGTAATTAATAATCGCAATTACAATTTCAAGGGAATAATCGACAATTATGATTTTTGTCATAATCGTGCAGCCCTACCTCAAAGCATAATATATCAGTACCATATCATATATTTTTATTGTATAGGCCATTATTGAACACTCATAAATAAAGTTTTCAAAAGGGAATTTTAGCAGTGATGCCGTAGAAGAACCATTTTGGGTTCTCCAAAGAACCTTTCAGTAAACAGTTCTTAATAGAACGTTTTTTTCTCTTAGTGTGAAGAACATTTTAATAACCTAAAAAAAACTTTTGTGCTGTTGAAAGATTCCATGTTAAAGCTTCTTATTTTAAGTTAATATTTCATAGTGCATGTTCATTCCTCTGTTTTGGTGTGGGTGTTCACATTTGCTGTGTAACAGGATCAAGAAAGAGCAGAGAACATTGACAGACCTCTGCTACACACATCCATCTCTCTCTTTCTCTCTTTCTCTCTTTCTCTGTCTATCTGTCTCTTTGACTGAGGTCAGATGTTAGAGGTGTGCCATCTCATTAGCAGTGAGGGGGTCTCGGTGAAGCTGCTCTTTATGCACCACACTGCTGCGTATGCTGATTAGTCCCAAAAACTGCCAAATCAGCACAGAGAGAGAATAAATAATTAACATGCTCTGATTCATATATGGAACCCCTCTGTTATAATGGTATACAATTCCGTCATTAAACAGACAAACAACTTTCATGCTCTGATCCATTCTGATAAATTCCATAGAATGGCTTTGGAAACTTCCATGGTCGGTTAGCATGTAAAGCAACAGTTTACTAAGTGATGAGAGAGTCCAGCTCAAGAGCACTATGGAGAAACGCTCTAGTTCGTGACTCACACCTGTGTTAACACACGCTATGGCTTTCGTTGTGAAAAATCCTAGATGCTGAATTCTCTTGCTTTCTATAGGACATCACAAAAAGTAGACACTGTAGTTGGTGGCTGGCTATGCTGATGGATTTCAAATACATGTTTACTTGTTTTAAGCTACCCAATGCTACATAGCCTTCCCATCATGCACCTCTCTGATCTTTATATTGGCCTCAGAACCAGGCCTAACCCTAAACGCCTTAATAAAAACTCAGTTTGCATGCATAAGCTCCTGCAAACATGCTCAGTATTTGTGAACAAGGATAGTAATCTCTGTGAAGGGTTCATGTTCTCCAATTCATCTACTTTAAGATAGGGAACAACATTTCTTCTTTAATTTATTCAAGCAAACTTTGTAGTTCTACACAGATTAGCACCAGGTCCCCAGATGGCACAGTGCTTGTCCCGGCAATTCCCAGCAAAGCCAAAAGAACAGCTGGTATGGCAGTGATAGGTGTTTCAGCACAGAGCGTGTGCCCCCTTGGAGGGAAGGTTACGGACTGATGGATTGGCACTCCTCCTTTCATTTTCATCTTGACTTGAACCACAGGTTGATTATGTAATGTCTTAATGAGCAAAATGGGGGAGGTGTGTGTGTGCGTGTGTGTTTGTGTGTGTGTGCGTGTGCTCTCCTCACCTTCAGCCAGTGAAGATCTTGAGCTGATCATGCATTTCACCCTTACTCAAGTACTTACACTTGAAAAGATAAGAGAGAGAGAGAGTCAGGTGGAGTTGGTTTCTTTGCAACTAAATTTGATTCCTTATTACAGCATTTTTCTACTTTTTTGCCTCACCTTCTCCTGGTCTCAGTGGCCACATAGACAATGCAAAATTTTTGGCAGAATAACACCATTTAAATATAGGAGTGATTCCTCTACATTATTGTTCTTTGTGTGTGTGGAATACTATGGAAATCTGTTTCCATTTCAATGTGAATAAAATAAAAATGAAAATTGTGACTCTTATATCTTTGTCACGTTTATGGCCTGTTTTTGTTTTGTTTTCCCTCTGTTCCTGCCTCCTGTTTCTTTATGCCCTTATTTGGTCTCCTTCCAGTTCCTGTCCTGATTATGTTTATTTGTCTCAGCTGGTTTCTATGAATTATCCTTGATTACTCCTCACCTGTTTCTGTTCTCCCTTATTGCGTTTCATGTGTTTATAAGCCCTGTGTTTCTGAGTTTCCTTTGTCCGGTATTAAATGTCGATGTTGTGCGTCATGTGAGTCTCGCCCTCCCTTGTGTGACCCCTTTGGATTGTTTGTTAAAGACTGTCGTTTTGAGTTTATCCTCATCTCCTCGTTCTTTGTTTTGTCCCAGAAGGCAACCGTGACAATCTTACATGTGCAACTGTATTACTTGCAATTGCAACTTTTCAAGTGCAAATTTTTTTTTGTCTCAAAATGTTTCTTTATATCTCGCAATGTAACTTTTTATCTTCTAGTTTCAAATTGATTTATCATAATTGCAATTTTATTTCTAGTAATTGTGACTTTATATCTCAGCACTCTGACCTTTGTTTCTAATTTCCAACTTTATCTCACAATTACTTTTATTTACTCTGAAGTGGAAACAGTCTTCCATAAAATACAGCTGTCTTTCTGAGCCAGTGATGACCATAGTCATGTTTGGGAACAAGAAATCCGGATGGCAACTAAATGTATAAATTTTTGATGAAAGCAGTGTGTGATTGGTACTACTTATATACACAATTTGGGGTCTTTTTGTTTGTTTGTTTGCTTGAAATACCTTTATTCAGCAAGGATGCATTATTTTGATTAGTATAGTAATAGTAAAGAGACTTACAAAAAACAGCATTTATTTGAAATTGACGTTCTTTTGAACTTTTTATTAATCAAGGAATCCTAAAAAAAAGGATCACGGTTTCCACAAAGAATATTAAGAAGCACAACTCTTTTAAATATTGATAGTAAAAGTTTGAGCATGAAATCAGCGTGTTAGAATCATTTCTGTAAGATCACAAATAAAAAAAAAACTAATATATTTAAATTGTAATAATATTTTACAGTATTACTGCTTTAACTGTTTTGATCAAATAAATGAACAAATACTATACAAATGTATTTATATTATATATACTAGCATATAGCGCTCAGAAGAGAAGTGACAACTGTATTTATCCGCAGTGTGTATATGGCCAGAGGGAGAAAAAGAGAGAACGATTCTAAAAGAGCAAGATTCTGGCATTGTTTTTTGGCACACAGAAAAGGTTAACCAAAGAGAACAAGACAGCAGTGAGAAAGAAAAGATGGTGTGAGGCCAGTGTCTAGACAGAAGAAAAGATCATAGCTGAAAGAAAGTTTAAACAAAGGCAAAAGACAAACCTGTTAGTGAGGTAATGCAACTGTGTTTTATCCTGTAAATGCCCATCTGGTGATAGACATTTTTTAGAAGCATCTCGCAGATATGGTCGACTAGAGATGAAACATACAGCAGATATCATTTCCTCAGCACTGCCCCCTTAAGAACACAAACATTCAGAAAGTTTTACTAATGTCATACCAACATTTAATGACTTCCCTTCAACCCACCCAGGAGGGGGGGAGAAGAATGGAGTAGGAGAAAGAAAAAAAGAAACGAGAGAAACTCTGAAGGTCTTTAACAGACAGCGAGATGTCAGAGCTGTTGACATTGTACTAACACAATGTGTTGAATATGCCTATATTGAAAAAAAGAAAGAAACGATTCTCCATAATAGAGAGAGGGGATGAACAACAGCTTGACCCTTATCCCATAATGCCTAGCACAGATGGACTTTGACAGAGGCAGACCTAAGGTTGTCATTTACAGGTGCATCTCAATAAATTAGAATGTCGTGGAAAAGTTCATTTATTTCAGTAATTCAACTCAAATT